TACAGCGAGAGCGCTTTAAAATTAATTAGACTCTATTTGTTTTCAAAAAATACTTTTAAATTTTAAATGACACAGCGAGAGCGCTCATTTGAGTTTAATAATATGGCCTGAATCGATAGAACGAAAGTGTGAGACAAGAGTTTTTAAATTAATAATTTCCACTGAAATAGTGTTTTAATACTCAAAACTATGCTAATGACTTATTGAATCCCTGAAGTCGACAAATTACATACCGGTGTCCCATTATCAATTATTAGATCTTAGTTAATTCCCGTTTAAACCCTAATATCCTAACTTTTTAATTAGCCTTAGCTTTACACAATGACTCTAGATAACAGTAGTTTGACCATCAGTCCTTATGGATTCGATATCTTTTAAAACTATGCGATTAGACTGTGCATTTACAGTAGCTACACCCGACAGACTCTCAAAGTCACGATCAGTACCCTTCTCTATTGAAGTTAAGTTGGCTCAACCTGTACTAAAATTGTAACCGGGTTCTAGGAATCTCATATCACGGATCTTTCTCACAGGCTTTATTTTAGCACGGCAACTGGTTTGTCACCAAAACATCCCGAGAGTCAAATCTCAATGAGCGTAGTATCGAGTATTAAACAACCTTGGACTGCACCAAAACCGACCATCTCACTACCTTCTAATGGCCAAGATGGGTCAATTAAGGTTCTAAAAGTTAGTTAGTGCTAATGACACCACACAGAAGCCTAATGTTATCCTTGACTGGCTCAAGGAACATTAGTACAAACTAAAGTGTCGCACTAACCGTAGCCACCACTTCAACCATATCGGTCTACACCCTACAATTTCCACGATCTATTTCTACTTACATAACATCCCTAGATCCGGGTGTAGGATCTTACAAGTAATAAACCCAAGAAAGCCCTTAAAGTTAAAGCAGATAAAGCACACAATTTAAGCAAGTAAAGTGATTTAAACTCTTAAGGTAACCCCTCTTTTAATTAGTCCCCAACAGAGTCATCAGTTCTGTAATACGGTGGGAGGACTGACTTTTTAAGCATTTTATCGCAAATGTTGCATATAGCAAGAGTCGCCACCGACTTTAATTTTATTAAATATAAGGAAAGTCTGAAAAGAACAGGAAAGACCTTGATAGATTATTTGAGTTCTGGGGGTAAGTTATGAAAAGGAAAGGTGTTAGCACTCTTTTCATCTGTAGTTATCTACGGGCTATTAATCGCTAGCTCACTTTGAAAATTGCTTTGTGTGTGTGATTTGAAAATATTTTTGAAAAGCCAAAGTACGACTAACTTTGTAATAATTCTTGTATCAGTCCTCAAGAACGCGTATAAAGTGTTTGAAAATATTTATTTTGAAAAGGTGATGTGTAAAATGTTTATTTTTTAGAAAAGAGTTGTGAGCAAGCGATTAAAAGTTCCTTATCCACTCAATGTCGTTCTTATTCTTTTCCTTCTCCTTTAGAGGTAGTGTTATTCGTACCATTAGTTGATATGTAGCCCTATCTATTTGATGTGAAGGGACATGCGAAGGGTCATCGAATGGTCATAAAAAACAACTTGTAAGGATACTTTAGCAATTTGAAGGGACTTACATCATATTATTCGTAGGCAACAAGGGACTAAATCATTTTTTGTAGGTAACTCGAGGGACATCGTTGGACCATGATCTTTATTTAAAGAGACTATGATGATTTAATCGAGGGTCTTTACTAAAGTACCCTTATTTTATAAGGACATGACCAATGTTTTCTGAAGGCAACTGAGGGAATTACCCTAGAGGTGTATGTGTGCAAAGTGAGTTCAGTTCAGTTATATTTATCTTGAGAATTAGGGTTTTCTATCGATTGATTTTATTCTTATCATACAAGTCTAGTTACTAGCAGCTATATATATACAAATATATAAAGGCAAAAGATAAAGCGAGAATATAAATCTACGCTATTACATTAAACTGTGCGACCTATACAATTGTCTAAGAAAACAAATAGCAAAAAGAATAAGAAAATGTTGGAAAAAAAAGAATTTAAATGCCCTAAAGATGTAAGTTCATATTTTTGGTGTTTTTATTAAAGTAATATAAGTATTAATTAATAATAATTAAAATCCTAATTCTAATTGATTTTAATTAATAAAAATTCTAAAATCTAATTGTCCAAAAAAGTTAATTAATTTACACCCTAAAACTAATTTTTTGTTGATTTTATTATATGGTTACTTTCTGATTTTTTTTTTATGTTTAAGTTTTGATTAAATAAAGTTAATTAATAATAAAATAATAAATAAAAAAAAGGAAAATGAAGAAAGTAAAGGAAAAAGGGTTTTGGCATCGCTGGGGTTTGAAATCCCCTCCCTTCTCTTCACACGCTTGGCTCTTACCTGTTCTACGTTTCTTGTTTAACACATCTGGACATATGAAACTTATAAAGAACACAAGGATTAAGAAATTTAAAATTAGAAAATCCTTACCACCGGTGTGATTGAGGGGAGGCATTCTGGGCACGGTTAAGAGTGGTTATGGACTTGGGCAGGTTCCTGGGGATGTCAGGATGATGATTCGAGGCTTCGTTTTAGTTGAGAATGGCTGAAAAACTAGGATACGATTTACACCTATTCTTTGAAAATTTTGTGTTTGAGAACTTGTTTCTATGGCAGCCAATATGTGTCCTTATCTTATGGAGTGTGTCCTCTATTTATAATGAGTGGTTTTTTAAGTAACATTCTTGGAAGAAAACATGTGCAATCAAAGTCATTATTTGTTTCCAAAACAATTGCAAAACTTTTCAAAACATGAAAATATCTTTCTTTCTTCATCCCTCACGGTTTTGTTATGTTGGATATGTGATCTTGGACTTCAAAATGATCCAAAACAAAAGCCCACGTGCCTTGTACATTTATTTAATATTTATTTAATTTAATTTTGAATTTAAATGAATAAAATCAAAATAAATGAAATAAAAAATTAAAATAACGCATGAATGGACTTATGGGTCTCTAAACATGTCATAAACACGCTTGAACTTTAAAAGTTAGGCCCATTAGCCTAAAAGTCCAAAATTGCTCAATTGTGGTTTCATGCATTTTCTCAAAATTGCTCAAATTGCACTAATTATAACTTTCTCAGATTTTGTCATATGAAAGTGATCTTGGACTTTTTTTAAAAGCTCAAGATGTCTCCTACAACTCTCATGTTGGTCACTTTTTTATTTGAAGTCTTTAACTTGATGTAAATTTCTTTGACAAACAATGTCCTTTTGTTGACTTTTAAAATGACTTGTAATGCTTTGGCCTATATCTCTCAAATGAAGCATTCTTGGCCTTGAGCTTAGAGAGACAAAGTTGTAGAGATTGAATTTCCTTCAAGATAGGCTTTGGTTGAGGAATTTATGATGAAACATGTGAAAGTTATGCTTGGTCAAAATTCAGTTGACTTCTCCTTAAGAAAATCTTAATTTGGTAACTTTTGTCTTTTGATGAATCTTGAGTTTTCTTGACGAATCATGATCAATCCTTGATCAAATAATAAATGTGACTTCAAAATATTGATGTTGAAAAAATGTTGAAGTTTGACTGTAAGTTGACCAATGTTGACTTTTTATCCAATACAGTTGAATCTCAATCATCTGAGCAATTGACTGAGCAAACTTGTGATGCAAGACTTGAAACTTGACATGAGGATTCTTTGAAGCATATGAGGAACCATAAAACTCACTTAAGGCATTAGAAGCTCAATTTTCTTTGAGAAAACCAAAACCCTAATTGTAGGTCACTGTTTAGGATGAGGGTTCATCTAATCAATTCTTGGATAGTCTTGAGTGTTTGAGACCCTTAGGAGCATGAGGAGGTATCTTGAATCAATTTGTCTTGAAAAATGAGAGGAATTTTTTTGGGGTACAACACATAGTAAAAGAAGAAAGTTATTCTTTCCAAAACACTTAAAGTGGGAGTTCTTCTCAATCTTTAGACATTGCCAAGACCCAAGATACTGGTAAGATCGTGTAAATATTTCACAAGGATTTAGTGTCATATATTTATACAAGTTAACAGGAGCTTTATAACAAAGAGGGACCTAACTACAATAAAAAAAATACACACATACAAGACATTCTCACCCCACGTGAGTTAATTTGCATCCTCATAACAACCTTAAAGCCTCTGACAATCTTAAATCACTAGAGATTGTCAAACATTTATACTTTTAACAAGTATAACCATCTTTCAAATAAAATACGTATCCTCATCGATTTTCTGAGATTTTATTAATTTGTTACTCAAAGTTTCATGTTAGAGCTATATTCAAGATGTATTAAATCTAATACATGCTCGATTCACAACTCTACCGGTCGAACCATCCGATCTGATCCAATTTATAAAATTTTGCTCTATATAAAAATTCATTTTAGAAAAACTCTTAAAGTTTTAAGTCAACTACAAATCAAAATCCTTAACTAACTCTAAAAACAAGTTACAAGTGTAAAGAAAGTTATGACTAAAACGAATACTAATCAACCAATATTTCTCTCCTAATAATAGTACTAAAACTATGTGCACTTGAGGAGTGCAGAGTCAGATGAGAGTCATAATATAGCTGCGGAGAGAGGTTCCTCTGATATGATCCACTAGTGTCTTGTCACATCTTTCTTCTCCCTTACTTTTACTTTGATACAATTATTACCTCTTTTAACTTACGTGTAGTTTTCACACCATTCAACCTTCTCTCTCTCTCTCTGTGAACCAACCAAGAATAGTAGTAGCCTTTACAGCTTTACCTTGATAACAACAGTACTTTTAAACCCTCCATTGAAATCTCTTTTCTACTTTTATACAAACAAAAAAGAGATTACTAGTTCTCTTACTTAAATGCTCTTTCCTCCATTCTACTTCTGTTATAACATCCAAACATCTTCACCTTTCATCATTCCTCAACCAACCCAGTTCTCTTCATTTCTTCTCTTCCGTATCTAGAAAGTAGTGAAACAGTAGAGAGAGAGAGAGAGAAAGTAAAAGATGGACTTTGGAGGGAACATGTTCTGTCTCAACAACAGAGACCAAAATAATAACACTAACGGTAACAGTAACAGCAACGGTTTCACTTGGGGTAGTAGTAGTAGTACTCCTACTACTAGTAACACTGCATGGAACAACAATACTTTCAACGTTGCCGTCAACCCTGGTTTAGACAACACGGTGATGTTTCATCCACATGCAAATGCAAACGAAGGTGGTCTACGGCAGCTTCGGGGGAGCTACACGGAGGCGTTCGGCGGAGGTTTGGCTAGGGCTCACATGCCGGATCCGCATCTCACGTGTTTGAAGCTGGGGAAGAGGCATTATTTCGAGGATGTGAGTGGTGGTATGGTGGATAAGAGAGGGAAGGGGTACTGCGGCGGTGGCGGGAAGGCGGTGGCGGGTTTGGCGGTGGGGAGTTCGGTGGCGAGATGTCAGGTGGATGGGTGCCACGTGGGATTGATGAACGCGAAGGAGTATCATAGGAGACATAAGGTTTGTGAGATGCATTCAAAGGCACCAAAAGTTGTGGTCATGGGTTTGGAGCAGAGATTCTGTCAGCAGTGTAGCAGGTCAGTGGTTTTTTATCTGTCGTTATCTTAAATATTATCAACCAAATTTTGATCAAAACCTAACATAGAAATGCTATTTTAAGTTTTTAACACTTAATTTTCATATCAAATTCAACTGTTACTGTATGTTAACCACCTAAGATCTAAATTGCAACAACTATAAGATTTGAAGGACCAAAAAAGATTAATTTGTAGGGAGGAAACTATTTAGATAATGTGATTTAAGAGACCAAAAGTGTACTTAAACTTTAAAATTTTAGTAACTAATAATTTATTATTTTTTGTGCCTATAAATTTAATACTAATCACTAATTCATCTATCAAACCTTAAAATCTGAAGGAATTGTGTTTTTGATAATATTATTTTCATTTTCATCATTTCATGTACTCTCTAAGCCTGCAAAAAAAGTACATGTAATTTACCTTTGGTGCTGGAGGGAGTACAAATATTTTACCATCTTTAAACCCTGCAGTTGTGTTTGGTGTTGGTTGGAGTAGTAATGATTTAGAAGACAAAAGTGGAGAGAATAAAGAGAAAAAAGAAAATTAAGACTACCATCTTAAAAATAAATGCCCTTTAATTGTCCCTTTGTAATTATGCTTGATATTGGTGTTGGTCAGTAAATCCTAGCTCAACCGGCAAAACTGACGGTTGGCCGTAGTTGAAACCCTAGTACTAACGGTTATGTGTCTGAGTTTCTAGTGGTTATTATTTTTTGGTTTTCGGTTATTAATTTATGATTTTCAGATTTGTTGATTGCTTAACTAATAAGATATGGAAAATGTGGCGATGTGGTGACCGGATTTTTAGGTTCCATGTTGTGTCGGAGTTTGATGATTCAAAGAGAAGTTGTAGGAGAAGACTGGCAGGGCACAATGAGAGAAGAAGAAAGAGCTCCCATGATTCTGTTGCAAGGAGTTCATCACAAGGTAAACTAATAAAACTAGACATGTAATTTTTTTCGACATGATATACAATAAGCTGATTGTTTTGGTGGTATTTTTACTTGTCATCATCAGGTGGGTGTGCTCTCTCTCTTCTGTCATCTAGGACTGATTCATGGCTTTCTCCTGATGATCTCTCCGTAAGATGCAGTGCTGCATTAAGCGAATTGATAGCAGAAAACCGAGCGGCTATAATGGCTAGACAATATGTCGTCTCAGATAGAGACTGGCATTTGCAACACCATGCAGTAGAAGACTACAAAGAGATTCAACCTGAATCCAACTATTTCCCACAACAGATGTTTCCGCAGACACACTAACGATGGTTCTTGTGGCACGGAGCTTGGTAAATTCATCGCAGTTAGTCAATCAGAATTGTTGGATGAAGATTAGATGTTTCTGATCATCATCCAACTATTCGTATTTACTGAATGCAATGAATCTCCATCCAAGAAGCCTGGCCTAAAGGTTTTTTAAAGAAATAAGTGTGCCCTAAAGAAGGACACTGGTTTATGAAGTTTTCAACTATTTAATGTATCCTAAAAATAAAAGTTTAGAACTCTTTTCCAGACTCATTAGGGTTATAAACTTTCAAGATTGCATTTGTATCTCTAATTTCTGTTAAGCATTTGCAAATTTGTTTGTATTGTGTTCCATTGCTTGATTTTTTTTTTTTTTTGAATAATTTTGTTCACTAATGTTTTCCATGACACACCTCTTGGACATTAATGTGATCAATGCAGAAGCTTTTGCTCTTAAGCTTTATAAATTGTGGAAGAAAAATAATAATGTAAGACTGTATCATGACTATATGCAATGTTTATATAAATTATAAAATAAAGTTAAATTTTCCTTATAATTAATCATTTATTTTAATAAATTATTTTGAAAATTTTATGAAAATAAATTAAAAACATATTTTGAACACTGACAAATTATTTTTATAAGTTACTTCAAACATTCATTTAAAATTTATGCAAGTAAATATATTTATTTAAAGGGTTAATTATACGTTTCCTCTGACATTTGAATGAGATTTGATTTTGCTCTCCTGAAATAATTTTTTTATTACCCGCTCTTTATAAATCGAATAAATCATTTTTACCACATCCTTTTATTTGGTTTGCTGATTGTGCTTATGATAATTTGCTACGTGGCAATTGCAATGGGGTGACTGTGTATATGATAAATCTAGAGTTTTTATTCCCCTTTCGTTTCATTCTTCAGTTTCATTCCAATCTTTTATCTTCGTTTTTCCTTCCCTTTCGTCTCAATCCTCTACTTCGTAATCCTGCGTCGTTCTTCTTCATCTCCTCAATTGGAAGCACGGTTGGAAACAGTTATATTGGAAGTAGTGTTAATTCAGTTTCGTTTCCTGGATTGCCCAAATATGGTTGTGATAGACCAACGAAGATGTGGGTGTCCAACTGGAAATTAGTGAAATTTAAAAGGATTACTTGTTGCTGGTCTGAAATAAATACATGTCTCTTCTCTATTCCAACATCTTCCATTAAGAGTTGAATAAACCACCTCCATGATTCTTTTGTTTCTGTTTCCACAATACCAAAGGCCAGTGGGAAATATTGGTCATTGGGGTCCCTACCCACAACAATTAATAATTGACCTCCATATTTAGTCTCAAATGACAGCCATCAACCCCAATAAAAGGTCTGCAACCATTTATGAACCCTTTTTTACATCCATCAAAACAAAAATAGAAAGATCCAAACCTTGGTTTGATGGTAGGTGATGGTGTCTCAATGTTGATCTTCACAGTATTTCCAACATTTACACTATACAATTCAGCTGCATATCTCCACAGACTTGCATATTACTTGTCTGCATCTCCTTCTATGATTTTTCTTGCAATCAATTTACCTTTCCATGCCTTTGCCACAATTATACCCACTGAATAGTTTTACCTCATATCTTGAATAATATCACAAATCCTTATTTAGTCAGAAGTTTGCATTTTCTTGACCACAGCCTTGGCCATCCACCTTGAATTTTCAAATCTATTATCCAAAATCCTAACACATGTGTGAGTGTCCTTTATAGTCTTAATGGCATAATTGTGCTTGTGGCCCACATAAGATAAAAGCATTAAAAAAACACATCTTTTTACATTCAACTCTCACCCTATACTCCTCATTTTTCACAAATGTTATTTCTCTCCCATTTAAAATTGTCCACTCACGAATAGCCTCCCTAAAGTCATCTAGGGAATTGAAATCCATATCCCACTTAAACTTAAAATTCTTATTAAGTTTCTCTTTCTTAAACTTCTCAAACTTAGGCCCTTTTTTATCTCCTGAGTTATCAGGATCAGAGCTATTAAGCTCTTCACTAACATACTCCTCATTTATCACATTTCTTCTTACTTGAGCAAGTTAACAACCCTGTTATGGCTGGACCCTCATTAAGTGGTATAGTGACATAAATACCTTCAAATCCATCAACAATAACAATCGTCCTTTTATTCTCACTTTCATTCAACCTTTCAACAATCTCTTCATCACTAACCTCTAACTCAGGAACAAACTCGGGACTTCTTTCACTTCCAATTCCACCCGCATCATGTTCCACAAACATTTCTCCATCAACTTGCATTGCACAAGCATAAACAGCAAAATCATACACATCCTCATCCTTCTTAATCTGGAAAAATTAGGGTCTATGTCAGTGATTTTCGTCCATAATATGTACGACCCTTCTTAGTAACTCCACCCATTTACTATACATCGAATGTGAGGCATAGTCCACTTATCTATGTGTTCCCCAGAAACCAAAATAGAAACACCACCCCTGTAAATCGTTTCACCATCACTAAGTTGTATGAACTCTTCTACATGGCAAAAAACAATATCAAACAATACTTTGTTCTGAAATATTATACTGAATATCAGGAAAAAACTATAATGCATGTTGTAATCAAGCTGTAGATACCGTATTTAGAATTTATCTAAGACGATTCGCTCGGAGATTCACTGTTCACAGCCATTGCTTCGTCTTCTCCGTTCACTTGGTCTTCTCCAATCGCAAGTTCACAATTCTAAAGTCTAACTATTCACGGGGGGGTGATAATGAAAGGTTTTTATTGTGGTTTCAATTTTTATTTTTATTTCAACTAAGAATACATAGTCACCCCCATTGAAATTTCCACATAGCAAGTTATCATACACACAGTTAGCAAACCAAGTAAAAGGGTATTGTGAAAATGGTTTATTTGGTTTATAAGGGGCGGATCTTAAAAAAATTACTTCAGGGGGGCAAAACCAAATCTCGCCCAAATGGCAGGGGGGCGTATAATTAACCCTTATTTAAATAATACAATATAAATAACTTTTTAAATTTTTTAGCATATATAAATCTTTTCAGGATTTGAACTCAAACATTCAACTCCTTTGTTCTTTAGCTTAACTAATTCAAGTTATTTGAGTTACCCATCACATTTGAGAAGGAAAAAAAGACTCAACCCGACGAATATATTAGTTTTGTGTGTATTTCTTTTTCTAGGAAGAACATAACAATATTTTAAATTTGCACCTTCTATCGTATTCATCTCCTAAATTATCCTTAATCTATTTAATAGTTGCTTATTAGTTAAGGCTTAACACTTTTCTACTATAAATGATATTTCAATATTCTCTTTAATATTGTTATTTATAATATTATCTTTTATAGTCTTACCACACATCTAACGTAACATTCTCATTTAGATTACACTAATTTTATTCTCCTGATGATTTATAACTGCCAAAAATTTCATCTTGTACACCATCATAGATCTTACCGCAGTCTGATAAAATTTTCCTTCAACTTAAGCGGTATCTTTGTGTCACATAAAACTCTTGAATTTTTCCTCCATTTCAGCCACCCGACTTGAGTTCAAAAGTTTACATCTCCTTCTATTTCTCCATTTTTTGTATTATGGGCCCAAAATATTTAAATCGCATGACTTGTGGGATGACACGGTCTTAAACTTTCACTTTCATGTTAGAAACGCTTCTCCTTTGGTTGAACTTACATTCCATATAATTTGTCTTACTTATAGTTAGGTGAAAGTCATGAGTTTCTAAAGCTTATCTCCATATTTCTAACCTCATTTAAATCCTCCTTTCGACTCTTCAAGTAGGAACATATCATATTCCAAAACACTGCGGTGCTAGCTCTTGGATGTATTCCGGAAGTTCATCCAAAATTAAAGTAAAAAGATAGGTCTTTAAGTTAAACCTTTTAAATTTCTCCGATATAAGCAACACATGGTAATACTGACTTTTAAACATCAGAACAATATCAAGACAAATGTTACAACATCTGATTTTACATCCTGAACAGATTCATCAAGTTATCACATAATAATGAAACTTAAACTACAGAATGATAAATAACACATAGAGTTTTTAACCCAGTTCGGTGCAAATTCACCTACATCTGGGGGCTACCGAGCCAGGAAGGAAGTCCATTATCGTAGTATTAGTTCAAAGCTAAACTCCACCGTTTACAACTTCTCTCCTAATCCCTACCCAATACAACTTCTACCTAGGTCCTTCCTAAATATGATAAATCGCAATCTCACTTCCAAAATCACCTCAGTGATAACTAACAATCCCAATTTAAGTGAATGTATTGAGTCTAACTCACCGAGTAGATCATACTTCCATTACAATACTTAGTCAAGACTCTTGACCAAGAACAATACTTGAATTTGCTTAAAAGCTTCATCCAAGAATAATATTCAACTCATTGCCTAAAGACTTCTGAGTGAGAACATAATGTTGACCACAAGTATAAAAACATACATGGGTGACTTACACCATACAATACACAAGAGACTCTCAAAATCTAAGACTTATGCTTCCCCTAATTTTACAATTATGAAAAAATTATATTACATTAGGTTAGGATTCCTCTTTAAATACACTTATTTAATCTATGGGCTTCGAAATCTCCATAAGATATTTCATGATCCACAAGCTGAGATTTGTATATGTTGTGCAGCAAAATCTCCTTAAATCTTAGAACGAACAACACAAAGTTTCCTAAATTGTCTCAAGGCCAAATTTAGTAACTAATGTACAATTGAAGATATAAAACCTATTCCAAAACAAATATTCTTGACCTGTAAAAATTACTGAAACATATCCAAAAGAAATATTCCAGAATCAAATTAAATATGTCAAGATTTAAAACAGCAGCGCCAGCTGTACTGCATAACATAACAGGATGTCAGAAATGTTAGAACAAGATTTGGATCTGTGTTTAAATGTATGAGTTTTGATGATAACAATGCATATATTTTATGAAGAACAATTTTAGT